CATATAAAATAAAGCATTTATAATACAAGCTGTGTTCATGGAGAGTAAATTTGAAGGATATCAGCCACGATACGTTATTGAAATTATTCGTGACGATCTCTGATAAAAAGCAGAGCTTAACCGGAATCGGCCGTTTGACAAGAATATTAAACGGTCGTTGGAGGCATCAAAAACTTCGGGCATCTCCGTTGTGCAAGAGCGTAGAGAGTAATATATAGGTAAAAGGTAGGGAGGTAGGTAGGTAAGGCAAGAAGGTAAGATCGGCGTACATTCAAACTCAGCGGAGTCTAAGCGCGAGTTCCGGGTGATCCGCTGACCTGTCGGCCTTTGCAACAACACTCTCACGCTCCTGTAACCCATACTCCCTCTGTATCGTCTCTCCGCTCTCCGCTTCGTTCTTTCTTTCTCTCCTACATACTCATTGTTTCACAGTATTCGATACTATAGTCCCGTGTAGCGCCGTTTGTAAACGTAGCCATGCTGCATTAGCATACGCTTCTTTCTTTCTTTCTTCCCCCCCGCGTCTTTCTTCAACCTTTTTTCTTTCACCGGGACCCTTTCCACGGCGACGACGACGGAAAATCTCCGCCCCGAGCGAGTTTCCCCTCGGATTTTACTCTCGATCAATTATGTTATCGTTTGTAACAACGATTTTTAATGGAGCGTAGAAAAGGAAAGGGAACGTTAGAATTAACTGGGGACAATACACGAGAAAAGTTACACGGCTATTATCCTATTCGATGAATACTTGTGAGACGCCAATTTACGACTAGTGGATTCGTTATAAGTAATTTTTGACAATATCCCGTTTTTTTAAAACAATTGTTATTGAGATAAAAAGGTTTCGAGTCGAAATATTTATGAATAATAAAAGCAGCGATAACGATACGATTGTGTCAGTAATATACCGATACACTGTATCGACTATGAGTATCGTAATAGCTCTTTTTATGTCCCATCTTATGTAAACTTTAAATTTTATTACGCATTGTACGAAAATAAAATTCATTTATCCTACATTATTATTGATCACAATATAATTTATTTTTAAACGAAGCTTACTGACATCGTAAAATTCTTACACTTCGATTCTTATAATTCTCTCCTTCGAAATGATTTCACTTTTTAATTGAATTTCTTGTTTCAGCTCTGAAAAATTGTCCGTCGGACTCCTCGAACATCCCAACCCCTAACATAGGGTTTTCAAAAGTAATATTCTTTATCTTGATATCGTATCTTATTCCTGACCCCCGGTTTCGCCGTACAATGCATGTAATTTTCCAGGCTATGTCCGGGTTCATAATGATGATGACCCAGCAAGGGAAACTGCTGTACATATCGGAAAACGCGGCTGAATACCTTGGACACTCTATGGTAAAGTAATTGCAAAGGCACGACAATTATGGTAATCGATCGCTTATAAAAATTGACGACCCAAAAAGGACAATAAAGAATTTTCCTTATAATTAAAGAACACGATATCTTTAGTGCCTGAATCAATCGTTAAGTCAGGGAGTTCCAATGAGTGCAATTAAATTTTTTATTATAAAACGTATTTTAGGAGGATTTGTTAATACACGGCGATAGCGTTTACGACGTGATCGACAAACAAGATCACATGGTCGTACAGAATCAATTGTCCAGAAACAGTCCAATTCCAAGCGATCGAAGATTATTCCTTTGCCGGATAAACGTGTCCAGAAATTCTCGACGGCAACTGCGGTTCGGCGATCAAAAAGTAGGTTCCTCTAATTTTCAGTACCAACACGTCTCTCTCATATTTCAACATTTACCTTTGTTTTATTATAACAAAAAGAAAATTTGTTTCGATTTTTATTTTCTAATTCTAATCTCTTTTTGTTGGCACGTTATCTGTTTCGTTTTCTTTTTAGTATCGTTGCTCTTTTTATAGGTGGTTCTAGTTGAAGGCCATTTTTTACCTTTTGTTCCTGTTTGTAATCGAAATGAATTTGTTTTCCTTGCCTCGTGCACGCCCGTCGTTTTGCCGGAAACTAGAGAAAGTATCGTGCAGGGCGCGACAAACATTTTCACCACTATTCATTCTATGGATATGAAATACCTTCATATCGATAAAACGTAATTTTTTTTTCTAATAACACGCGATCAAAGAATGTTCAAAAAGTCGATTAATTATTTTTTCAATTCTATTTACAGAGCCGAGAGCCATTTGGAATATACTCGCAACGAATTAGTGAACGTGTCGTGGTACAATTTGTTACACTGGGATTCGATTAGAACAGCGTACTGCAAACATCAAACTGGTAAATTGACAGAAAATTTTGGAACTCGAAGCGAATTCGTAAAAATGGCGAACACAAATTATTACATTGGAGGTATTCGAGAGCTTTCATATTACCTCTGCACGTTTCAGTTATCCAATCTGATCAAGAACGGTCCGCAACCGCGTTATTAAGACTTCAAAGCCGTTCTGGTCGATGGTTCTGGGTGCACTGCGTTTTGCAAGTCAAAGACACGTCAGAAGAATGTCAGCATCCAATTATCGTCTGCACCAATCAAGTTTTAAGGTAATTCACATTTTTAACATCCTTTGAATTGTTGTACTAACAATATCGGATGTGATTCATTTTTACAGCGATAGGGAAGCGGAAGTGATGCGTTCGAGCTCTTGGCTGTATCAGTATTCGTCTCAAACAAAATTCACCTACACGATTTGCTCCAGTACCCAAAACCGTAGCGTGCCGTACGCCACCGGCCAAAACAATCAACAACAAGACTATACTCGTTCACTGTCCCACAACAACGATCAGCAACACTCACCCGGAATTCGAAACTCGGATCAAGATTTGCACAACCCTTCTAAAACCCAGCTGAAGGATTACAATGCACGGAATCCACGGGAGGACGCGGAGCCGGTGGACATGTCGATCAGCAGCAGCGAACACGAGAACAGGAATGTTCACGTGAACGTGCAACACGGTCACTACGCGTTAAGCCAGTTCACCGACAGGTACAAAGTTCCCAATAAGAATTCGCTGAGCTTAAGCGGTTACCGGGCGAAGTTCATTCAGTGCCACGGCCAGTACAGCGCGGACACGCTGTCGCCCAAGTATTATATCACCGATTTAGATAAGGAGTATTGTTGCAACGAGAGGAGCAGCAAGCGGCTTCCGGCGAAGATGTCCACGGCGACGGGATCGATCGACCCGGCCGATCTGCCCATAGAGCATTGGAACTCGAGTCCCGTTTGGTCGGACACCCTGCAAAGGGTGCCGGACGTCGTACATCAGGAACTTAGCCCGTACGTAGCGACGCCCACCACGCCGGTCGATACCCCCGACTCTGAGCTACATCCGGAGACGCCGATTTTCAATTTCGATTGGGCGGCGGAGCAACACGTGCCGCATCTGAAGATCACGTTCCGCAGCTCGAACCAGGGGCCGAGGAAACCGCAGGACGTTCAACCGATCACGTTGCAGTTACCACGGAAAAAGGGCCAGTCGATGAGCGACACTAAAGACTTTCCTAAATGAGACTGTGCACAACTCGTTCGGTCGGTGCTTTGCAGTTAGATAGGCAAATATTTTTGTTTTCTTCTTAAGGTTGTATGAACCCGTATAAAGCATCAAAATTTTAACAGTAACTAGATGTTACACTAATGAAACGCAGTACGAGATTTTAGAAATTTTGCGAGACTATTAAGAAACTTATTAAATCTTGAATACTAATGTCGAATGATAGAATTTTGTACAATTCCTAATAGATAATTTAAGAATATTTTAAAGTTGAAATAATGTCAATTTCGAGAATATTATTTAAGGATGTATTNCTTTTCAGGCTTGTATTTCCTCAAGTCAGTTGTTTCTTCCAACTTCGCGCGTGCACACCAAATACCAGAAAGTTTTCTTTGGGTTACTGCTGACCACCATAAGAGTACATGCAAACTTTAAATCACTATAATTTTTCAAAAAACCCATGAATTGATTTAAAATTTTGCAGGTAGCTTGTTAATAGTAATAGGAATTGCTTCAAATATTGGACACAGCTTTTCATTACATGTCTTAAACTTTTGGCAGAAATCTTACGGCTCATACGACCTTAACTAGACGTATCTCTGGGCAATTGGTGGAAGGAATTTAGCGAGATCATGTTTCTTTTCAATTCGTATGATTTTATATTCTGAATTGTGGTAAATCTTTTTTTATGATGAAAGGGAATTATTATTCAAATATCATTAGTTCCCTGGATAATCCTACGATCTCGTTATGTATCTTTCAACACAATTGTAAAACTTGAGTATGTGAATAGGATATGAAAGTTAATGATACGCGTCGGTTGAGGGATTTTGTACAAATGAAAAATCTGATTGTTCTAATTTGCGACATTCGATCTATTGGATCAGTTCCTAAAATTTGAATGCTGAAAGACTTATCGATGTACAAGACTAGAGTTGATTTATTAATTATTAGTATAAAAATTGAAGTCCGTGCAATATATTGTTAACAAAGGCAATGTGATTTCGTCGGATCGAAAAACTATCAGTATTATATGAAATCCGCTTGCTGGGAATAGAGATTTATGGGTAAGATGCCATAAAGTATTAGTCTAATAAATAATGAAGAATATAGATATGAATATTACGCAATAGTAGGAAGCGTCGATCGCAAGAGTACAACAGTACCTAATTCTTTTTAGCGATAAATGAAAGTACTTAAACTAGTGTGTCTAAAACTTTGATAAGATAAGTTTTAGAGAAATGTTGACATATAAAGCTTTTTAGTGAATGTTCATACGTAACGATTATTTTAAACTATACGCGGACATTTCAGTAGCAGCATTTTTAGCACGTTCAGCGAAAGGTTTAATAATTACTATTAGCAACGAAGATCAAAAGGAGGGAATGTCCATTAATAAAGTATATTTATTTGAGTATTTAAATTGTATTTTACGACCGCTAAACTTTTCTGTGTTATTTTAAATATAAATGGAATACATGTACATATACACAGCCTTTCCTGGTCTCACTTGTCTCTACCTGTTACGATATTATCTGAGAAATTGTCATTAGTATAAAAATGACTTCTCAGTATAGAACTCTTAAATAGAGAAGCAGTTTTTATTGCCAATAACTGATTAATCATTGGACTTAACGAAAATTTGTAATACTCTTATCGTTTGCAAATATGATTCTATACAATTTTCTTCTATCTACAATAACTTAGGAATATAGTTGAGAAAAACCGGAAATTATAATCAATGATCGATTGCACGAGCGATGGGTCTGATAACAAATGTAGTTTTCTATCCTTGACATCTTATACTGACGCTATGTGCGAATCTTACCTGAACTTTACAGTGCACGAAGAACAAATGGCAGAACATAAGTACAGAGCGACTAACTGAGTGAGAGTGAGGGAGATGCAACCACAGCTGCTGCAGCAGTGAGTGCAACTGGCTGGGTGGTGGTGGAGGTCGCTCAACGGCCTTGACGGGGCGCGGGGCAGTTGCGCTCATGGCTAACGCGCGAAAATGTAAAATTACGTCGCTCTCGGTTCTACAACACGAGTTGCTCTACAATACTTTGTAATTTATTATATATTATAACAAAGAACAAGACGACACATAATATGCAAAGCAATATAAAAAATCGAAAGTAAAATGTAATTTATAATGCGTTTGAGCGATCGACGGTAAACGATTTTTGGTCATTGAGCCACCGAGGAGACCGTAGGTAAATTTTATTTATTAATAGATTATTGACGCTAGCAAAATAATTATTATACAAAAGTTGTAGGCATTGACGTCCTCTACATGAAAGGTCCTATGGATTATTCTTCTAACTCCGGTATTTAACTAATTAAATATGATTAATTGGCATTTTATTAATACCCCAACAGCTCACCGAGCTCACTCAATATTGCAGTAACGTTGCTGCACTGACAAAACCAGCTGTTCCCTCTAGGAAAATATCTGATTTAATTTTATGGAAACATATCTCAGCATTTTGCGATTCTCGACCAAATATGTATACATCTGGTGTAGGTACCGATTGTTCGAATTTTAAACTTTAAAATATTTTGTCTGTAAAGTTTTTATATTACAACCAGAACGGAAATTTCCTCTCTGATGCTACGGTGAAATTCGTTCGTGAATCGTCCACTTGGTGCAGCACTCTTCGGGAATCCCGAAATGCCGAGCGCGAGCACTCTCATTTCCTCTCCCTCTTTGTTGCTCTTTATAGTACATACGTACTAAGGAAACGTATGGCTTCCAAGTATAAGTATAGCATTAGTATATTGTGCGCGAAGGTTAGGAGTAGTTAAGCGATCAAACGTGGGTTAGGTGGAAAATAACACCTCCTGTCACAATGTACATACAATAATGTTGTAGTGACATTACGACGGTGAACGTGTATACGAGTAGATTTCAACATCCGTGTGATCCACTGCGGAATACATGGATGTTGCGAACGGACAGAAGCCCATCAGTGAGTCTAATTTTTGGAATTCGTTCATTGGAACTTTGCAAAGCTTTGTTTCGCTCCAAAATAAATGAAACATTTCGATATAGTCAGTTAAAGTAGCAGTAGAAACCTTGCTTTCACTTTTGGAAATTTGAAAACGCTGTCGAGCGAAACTTTTCGATGTATCGTTACCCGAACGTATACAAAAAATTAATTACATCCGTACTTGCATAACTGGTTCGAAAGTCGTGTCGCTTTGCTCAACGATTTACGAGCATTATTGTAGAATTTATTCGTGTATTCTTAAATTTAGGTGGGCAGCCTCCTGCCTCTGGTAGTTCAGGGGTGGACAAGGGAAAAGACTGGCAGATGGAATTGCTTATGGAAAAATTACGATCCAAGGCTTCCACGTTCAAATCCTTGGTGGAAACTGCCAAAAATTTACGAATGGCTATGCTGGTAAGTCTGTATTAAAATAAATACCATATCTTAAATTTACTCCAATCCTTTGCTCGTTCGAATAACAGGATAAAAGGTTCGCGATTGACAGTGCTGAGAAAAGTCAGCTGCAAAAATGTTTGGATACCCTGCAACATTCCATAAAAGTGACTTCTTTACAATCCATGGTGGAACGTCTGGAGAGTTTAACCAGACAATTAGGGTGAATACATATAAATTGTGAAATCTGTCGAGGAGCAGGGCCAGATGGTTTAGTCAATATTTGTTATAATTGGGTTACAGCTTAAAGTTTATGATGTCTGGTCCACCAGGCACGGAATTGTTTATCTCCTCAGACATGTTCTTTTTGGAGGTACTTCTGGAGCCGACTGGTGTAGTCAAGGATGTTAAGATCCATCATGAAGGGAAAAATGAGCAGCAGGTACAAATTGGAAATCGATATTAAACAATTTCTTTATATTATAATTCACTGTCATAATTACATTTAACGGTTCGCAGAGCTGTGATGTATTGGTGTCTTGTTTATCACGGGGAGACTTCCTGGATTTTACAGTACAATTAGAAGGTTTAACTTCGATATATCAATTGAATGCAGATAAGAAAGTGAAATGTAAAGCTTTCAGCGCTTTACAGTCGCTGGAGGCGGATCTGGGTATCCTAGCTCAATTGCAGACATTTATGAAGGAACCTTTCAATCTCGTTCATAAAAGCCCAGTTGGTTGGTATTAACGTCCTAATCTGCGATTCTATAAATTAAAAATAAGTTTCTGGTATTAATGATGAAGATACTTGTAGGAATCCTCGAGCGAAGGAGAGGCGGTCATGCGATGAAGCTGACGTACTTTGTTTCTCCGTACGATTTAATAGATCAGGAGAATCGTAGCTGTGATGCATTGAGTTCAGAAATAGTTATCAAGAGGAAGATCGGTCATTCTGTAACAGTTTGTATGGAGGGTTCGACTGCTCACAAGTTGCCTACATCTAGTATCATAACTGTAAATAGAAGTACTACGGGAAAAAGGTTCGTAATTTTCAGCGAGTCTCTCACTAATCATTCATCATTTATTATATCTACATTTTTTACTGGTCATTTTTTCAGTACCCCATCTTATGCTGCGTTAACTGGTACAAATTCGTCGGCATTACCCGCTTGTTTTGTATTGAAGCTGGCTAAGAAAATGCCAATGTGCATGGAACTAGTCCGTAGGATACAGAAAGTAACAGAGCTGGAGTGTGCGAATATATCTTCTCCTCATCCGTTGCTTAGTCTGATCGTTCAACACGCCAGCGACAGCCAACTGGACTGCCGGAACAACCGAGGACTTTACGTTGTACGTAGTGAATAATTAACCTTTAATTAATCAAGAATGTGCATTTTAAATCGATGTGTTCTATTAATAATATCTCGAACGGTACTTTTTGTTATAGACATTACCGGATCAACAGCATTGTTACTTCATGACAGAGAACAGGAGTATGGAGGGTGTGTTAGTATCCAGCATTCCTTTCACTCATCCGGCTCACGTTCCGCAGATCCTGGTGTTCTTACGTCAACAAGCGTTGTTCAATACTTTAATCGCGAGTTGTGTTAGGCCGATGGCCCGGCAAGACCCCGAGCACGCGACTATATTCGAAGTGAGCTCTCTATCGTGGCAGCACATATCGGTGAGTTTGGAGCATCCGTTCGAGGAGACGATGGCGACGGCGGAATTGGATTTAACGGACATTTCTGCGTTGAAATGCAAATTGTACGGAATAAGTATAACGAACACGGAGCAGACGTCAGACCTGACTGGGAAAGTTTTGCAAAAATGCTTGAGTATACCACTCACTATGAGAATCCTTATGAAATCATGGGAGAGTCGCGACTCTCTGACCACGATGAACAATCTGAACAGCGGGAACGGGAGCTACAACGTGAATCTCGGCTCCGGCAAGGATCAGAATAATCAGAATGGTTCTGGTATGCCCGATTTCACCAACGGCGAGGCGAAAATCAAACAGGAACCTGGTTTGAATAATGGAAACGGGGCTATGGGGAGGCAACAACAATCGTCACAGCAGCAACAGCAGCAGTCTTTTTTAGATGCCGGAACGGAGAATAGTATCGGTTTTCCGTCTTATTCCGGCCAATCCGATACCACGACTACTGCGATGTTGAATCCACTGCAACTGGGTGCGTTGCTTGGGCAGGCGAAGAACTCGATGTCTAATCCGATGAACGAACGTACGAAGAAAACGCGTAAGAGGAAGACCGCGGACGGTATTTGGCGGAGTCCTAAGAGGAAAGCAGACGAAAACGCTGAAATACTGTTGGAGAGTTCTAGTTCGGACTCGACGCCTTTAGGTACGCCGACCGGCGGTAGGGAGAATTTAAACGAGACCCGAACGTCCACACCGACGTCGGCTACGAGCTTAACCAGCGGTTTGGATTTTTCTAATTTGGACCCTACGGATATTTTGGGTACGGACAAGAGCTCCGATTACGACATCGATAACGAGAGTGAGATAACGGAGGTGCACGATCTACAAGACGTGGAGGAGTTGATCAAACGCGAGCGTAAGTCGAGGAAGCGAGAGGAGAAAAAGAGTCCGATTATATTCGAAGAGAACAAAACTCTGGTGCCGCCGTCAGTAAGTATAACGCCAATATCCAGCAGTAGTTTGGGTCAGACTACGAACTATAACTCCGTACTGACGGGAATGGGTTTGGAAAGGAGGCCTGGCATCGAGATAATACCGATCGCGTCGTCGCCACAGACCACGTTGCCGAGTTCGATCACGATAACGCCGATTGCCGGGCCGACGCAGTCGAAGGGTCTGACGGACGATCGCAGAGAACGGAAAAGTTCGAAGGGAAAGTCGACGGAGGACAAGGGCAAGTTGGAAAAGAGGCGGAAACGTAAAAGGGAAGACAGTCCTATGGGACCGCCGCCGGATAAGATACCGTCCAAGCAAGATCCTCTATCGAAACCCGTTTCAGTGAGCATAAAACCGACAGAGTCGCCACCGAATTTGAGCTCGCGGCCATCGTCACCAGCGACAACGTTACGAAAATTCAGTCCGTCTCCTACGCACCCGCTCGCTCTCGTAGGTAAGTCCAGCCCCACGTTGAAACAGTCGACGAACAAGCCGGTGCAAAGTCCGAAGCATTCTCCAGTGTACAGCAGTAGCCCGAAGCATACGCCAGTACCTGCCAGTGTGAGTCCGAAGCACGGGACGTCGTCGCCGAAGCACGGTAGTTCCGCGAGCACCGGCAAACCGAGTATGTCCGCGTTGAAATCCGCGGCGAATTCTCCTTCCAGTAAAACCGCCGACTCCGGACAATCCAAAATGAAGTCTTCTTCCTCATCGTCGAGCAAAGATTCCAATCGAGAGAAAGAGAAGAAAACATCGTCCTTAGCGTTCGGTGGATCGAGCGGTCATCAAAGCCCGAAGACCAAATCTTCCAGTGGTAAGTTGAAGCAGCTGGAATTGATACCTAGCGGAGAGACGCAGACTGCAGTTACTAGTAGCGGCGGTAGCACGCCGCCGTCGGGCAATTCGGAGCTGGGCAAATCCGCCATTGCGCAGCAGCAAGCGAAGAACAGGAAAAGTTCTTTAAGCGCAGTTATCGATAAATTGAAGAACGCCCAGCACTGCACGGACGATGGTGGCAATGGCGGAGCCAAATCGACATCCGGCGGAAGCGGCAATTCCACCGGACAGAAGGAAAGAAACGTCGGAAGTTCATCGAACAAAATTGTGGAGGGGAAGTGTATCAGCAAAAATTCGTCTATGGACACAAAGAACCCAGCGGAGTACATCTTGAAACACAGTTCCGATGGAATGAAGATAACGATTAACAAAACTCGCACAAAGGACTCTAAGTCCGGAACCAATATCAAACTGTCTTCATCCTCGACGAACGTCGCTACTGGAACTTCTACGAGTTCGTCCACGTCGTCCGGGTCCATGTCGGGAAATGGTTCGCCGAAAACGCACACCGGTTTGAAGCCAGGTGTAAGTTCTGGCCCTGCGTCGAAGAAACCTGCATCTCAAACGTCCCCGAAATTGTCCGGCTCTTCTTCCGGATCTGGCAGTGGCAGCACGAACAAAACGACTTTGCTTGGACAGAAAATGTTGCCTACATTGAAGTCCACCTCAGGATCGAATTCTGGAAGTGGTAACGGCGCGGGAGCGATCAATGTCGCCAGCGGCGGCAGCAGTGGTATGCTTTCCAAGGGTATCATGTCTTCTAAATCCTCCTCGAGTTCGCCGAAGACGACGAGTTCTGGTGTTACGGATCTCAGTCGGAATCGCGACAAATCGCGATTATCGAAGTCCAGCGAGAAAAGCATATTTCCCTCGAAAGGAATCGGAGATACCAGAAAATCGAGTCCATCAGGATTGCGTGAGGAGAGCGAGAGCGAGAGAGCTTTCAAACTCTTGGCCGCTCACGCTTCCATGTCGAACTTATCGAATTTGCCTAATTTATCGTCCCAACTGGTCGTCGAAGGTTTCATGAAGCAGTTAGACACGAAATTTCAGATACCCAAATTATCCGCCAGAGCCAATGCCGATTCTAGCGAGAAGAAGTCCGATAAACTGTCGATGATGCCTGACAGTGGCAAAGTGTTGGACAATCTCGGGTCAAAACAGACGACGGAACCAACGGGAAAATTGCAGACGAATACATCGACGGCCGTTTCCAAGCCGACGTTGGACGACCAGACGAATCAGGGTAGACGGGATCACGTACAAACGAAACCTGACAATCTGTCTATGTCGGGCGCAGCCTCCGTAATAAATCTCGGCACTGACAGTGCTAGCAATCTCCTTCTTCCGGCTTTATCGAGTAGTAGTTCGCACGATATGGATATTCCTACGAATCTCTCGATGCAATCGACCGAGAACGAATCCCGCGACAAGGAACCGCCAATGAATAGGAGTAATACGCAATTTCTAAGTAGCAGTTTAAATTCCACTGCCACTAGTAAGGACGATTCCAGCGGCAGCGGACCAGGAATGACTGTTCTTCCAAAAGGATCCGATGTTCAGACTACCACCAAGCCTTGCGTATACCCTACAATGATAACGACCGGCACCATAACCAGCGGAAACGGTATGACCACCGCAAGTTCCGGTAACGGATCCTCGGAGAGCTTGAACCTCAGTATCAAGCCTGTGGACGCTGCGATGACAAAGTACAAATCCGATGAGAAAAAGCAACAACAACAGCAGTCGCAGCAGCAGCAGCAACAACAATCGCAGCCATTGCAGCAACAGCAGCAGCAATCCCAGCAGCAAGCGTTGCAGTCGCAACAACAGTCTCAACAACAACCGCAAGTTTCGTCTTCTGGAGGAGCGTCCGTTTCCTCATCCATGGGAACGTCGGCATCCTCGGATGTACCGCCCGGAGCGATAAAAGCGCCCGGTACGGAAATAATGTCGACTGCGTCCCAAGAGGCTGCCGAGATGCTGCTGGACTTCTCCACGCCGAAGGACGTAGCCAAGAGCTTGAACTTTACCAGTATACCAGAGAGGGCGATGACTCAGGCAGCGTCGGTACGCAGGAACACGCCACCGCCGCCGCCACCGGCTTTCCCGGCGAGTCCCTCCGTCAGCGTACACATCGTGAAGAGTCCTGCACCCTCGCCGAGAGTGATCCCGCCCTCCCCGCATTCCGCTTCACCGTGCATCACCGACGACGAGTTAATGGACGAGGCGCTGGTCGGGATGGGTAAATGAAGATTACTAAAACTCTAGATTCAATTTTATTCGCGATGGGTACAATGTTGTTCCGAGATGCTGGCACACGGAGTTCGATTACTTACTGCTGCTGCCTCGGTCCGCTGGAGCTTTTATCGCGGTGCACAGCCTTGAAAGGCCATCCAGTTTATTAGCAGTCCTCGAGTTGAGATGAATCATTTCTCAGACGATTGTTGCGGGTTTTTATTCAATTTTCTTCTCTTACTTCGCTATAGTCAATCGTGGAGAAAGGATTGAGGGAAACGCGAATATAAAACGGTGTGTATTTTAAGATTCTTAAAGAATATACGTTTTTTTATTCGTGTTTCTCTCGATCCATCCCAAAGTTCTCCCTAGCTATTGACCGAAACGACAGCGAAGGAAGAAAAGTGAATAATCGATGAAGATTCGAAGGGATAAGACTGCTCAGACTCAATAACAAGCAGTGGTATCACGCGGAAGTATAAAACTCGTGCACAACGGAGAAATCGAGGCCAGCAATAAAATTATTGCTTGTATATTTCTAACGAGAAAAATAAATGAGTGTGAAAGAGTGAGATAATAAGTAAGTGTTCGATGTGCGAGGAATAATATAAGCTATTACATAACGAGTTATTTTCGATAGAAATCCACGTTGGACAATATTTATAAGGACACCGTGGCACGGGTTTGCGGTATTAAATAGGCTGTTTGCCATCTCTATCTTCCCTAAGTTATTTTATCTTCAACAATAAAAATCCAAAAGGAATAGCAATATTCTGTTCCATTAAACGAACTTTTTAATAGTATACATATGTGTATTATTATTCGTTCACATTATATAAAAATTACAACAGATTGAAAGAAATTATACATTCACGGACATTTTCACGAAATTATACATTCACAGTATATTATACTGTAATTTAAAACTGCCGTATAATGGAAAAGAAAACGTCAATTTGATTGAAATTATTAGTTAAAAAAAGATTTTAAAAATAGTATTATACTCTGGAAATGACAAGACTCGAGATATTTAAATAATTCGAATTTGGACTTAACGAAATAATTACAGTGTTCATCTAATTACAAATGCTCTAAGTTATATGAAACAGGTTGTTTTGGGAACGTCGTGACTATGCAGAATTTTGATGAATAGCCGCGAGAAAGGGGGGCCACGTAGCCAATTATCGAGTCTTTTATTCGTACCTTCCTCTTGCACTCGCTCCCGTTGTTCTTCCTTGTAACAGTGTTCCCTGACGGTACTACAACGAAGAAAATCAGTGCAGACTTGTTTTCACGTTTTAAGTGATTAATTGATTCTCGCCCGGATGTGTACGCCGAAATAACATTAGCTAAAACAAATTTCATTCGCCACTATAAAAGAAAGACGCTGAAACGAGAGAGAATGAGAGAAAGACACTGTATTTATTTAAAAGAATTTGCAATTCTAGTTAGAATTGATTCAATGTCTTTTGCGATGTCTTCAGTGTTTTAAATCTGCGATAGAAAATCGTGAAAGAAGGAAAGAGATAGTAGGTACCAAGTGCCAAGTAGAAGTAAATGAAATACAGGAGACAGAATTTTAATCCTTTGTGATGCGATCGTCGGATGCTTTATGTTGTTAATTTGACAGAATTAGCAGATTAAAGGGAAGCTTCGGTCTAATGTAACAGAAGCTGGGTTATTTTCAATCCGTAGTAAATTTTCTCTTAGACGTAACGAGGCTAATAAATAAGTTTTTATACAGGAATTTTATTGTTCATTAATTATTTTTACTAAAAATTGGTCCTAGGATTCAATTAATTAATGAATATTAAAACGATATTGCTAAAAGGTTTAGTTTAATGAGAATCGACTGTCCTGAAATAAGGATGTCCTCTCCAGAGGATTGAAATTCTGATCTTGCGCAAAGTATAATGTCGTGTACAAATTAGGCGAAAATGCTCTGGTTTAAGATCGAACAAACATCAATTACTGAATCATGCGAGTGTATTTGTTCGATGCTCGAACCAAGGATTAAGCGATAACAGACTCAAAGTTATATGAACAGATGAGATAAGTTATATGTCTGTCGTCGTTAATTAAGAAATATTAGAGAAAGGAGAGAGAAAGACGATTGGAGATAAATTATCATAGCGATGTACGTACACTTTTCAAATATGTAAAAATTCCATGGAAATTGTATTTCCGAGCCGGAGTATCGTATTCCAGACAATACTTTAAGGGAACGAGAGAAGGAAACAAAATTGGTAGTAAAAAAATTTATCTTACAGAGAGAATTGTCCGATACTCCGGAGAGGAAAATACGATTTATTTTTTCAATACTCAAGATCGTGTACATAGGAATATAATACGTTTACGCTGATAAGCAGTGCTGTAATAAAGAGATAAGAGAGTATACAAAAAGGTGACAAATTGGTGAATATCGAAATTAATTGAATTACGAACGAAGAAGTGGGGTGGTTGACGATCATTTGAATATACAATTATTTATTTCATCGTGTGCTAGAGTTATTTTCTAAACATTTTTAACTTCCTGCGTTATCTACTTGCCTTTATTTCTTAAAAGACGCTAAGAACTGCCAGACTGTGCGTCGCGAAGAAAAATTAAAAATAATTATTTCGATTGTCATCTTAAATTATTGTATTAGTACATTTGTATTTTTATTTGGTAACAAAATGAATTACGTACTTTGTATTATTATAGTATTTTTACATTAAATTTCATTTCGCGTATCATTTAAGTTGAAACATTATTATTAACAGAATTCCCTGTTTATCATTTGTAAAAGCTACGATTATTAACTTTCCAAGCGTAACTTATACCTTTAGCAGGAAATTCAATTTTCAAAGAGACGCTCTACAAAAGACAGGGAAATTACGTTTATTGACATTATATATGAAAGGGGGTAGTTGGGAAGGTGAAACTTTATGAAGAATCCGGTGTATAAATGTAATTGTATTAGCGCGTGTATGTACCTATATTTAAGCAACGATCTGTATAAAGCAAAAGAAGATATATATACGTGACTATAAAATCTATATATATATATAAATAAAATTATCGACGATGAGTGTCTTCGAAACCACGCCGAATTCTCGACACGCGTATGTAAGTCTTGATAATAAAGAACATGTCTTTTTGGAAAATCGTTATCCACGTTTCCTCCACTACTTTAATAAGCTGTTGACGGACGAGAACAAAAGAAAAATAATAGAAGAGTGAAGATAATATAAGAGAAAAAATAATAACCGTTTATTTCCTTATTACATATGTATTTATATACTAACTCATATAATATAAAAAAATTATTCCTTATCTTTCTACAATGTGATGAATTAAACTTTCATTCGCTCCGTACATCTATGAGTATCTTTTAATTAATCTTCCTTGATCATGAAATACTGCACCTTCCTACTCTATACATTTTATTTATGTAGTTTTTGTAAAACAGAAATCAATTCCATCGGGAGTTCATGCATCAAGAAAGTTTTTGAGCAAATTTCGAGTTACCAGACTTGCGATCTACACAACCGTCACTTAATTCATGGTAACAGTTGTTATAATAATTATAACAAAATTGTACATGAATCTTTACCAGCACATGTAGGTTCTCGGTATGAAAAAGTCCCAAAAATCGTCGAGAGTCTGGGGACAATTGATTCTGGCGAAGTACTCCATGCAGTACAAGCTAACGCATATGCCGGTGCCCACGCCTAAACTGAACAAGAGGAACAGGTTGCTCTTGACTTTCAACATGAACTCCAAATGCACCATGAGGCCGATGCAACCGAATAGAACCAACACCAATGGGTAAAAGAAACGGCTGCTACAGCAAATGATGTATTCGTGCATGATCGCGGAGATCGCGAACACCGCGTAGGTAGACAGTAGCTTGTTCTTCGGCGTCACGATCTCGTACATGTCCTTGTAGATGTACGTGTACAGCCAGTCGTGGACCACGACGTTCCAGGTGCGATAATAAGAACTGAAGCTTATCGAGTTCCACCAATCCTGAAATTAAAATGTAGCTAATGTTTGAACAATGCTTGTTTCCTGCAACTTAAGAATCTGATTTAAGTTTAATAATCATGAGGAAGTGTATCAATTAAAAATAATTAATAAAATAAATAAAAATAATAAATAAATAAATAA